CACATATAGGGAAACCATTTCTGCTCCTGTACCTATCTTGTTAAGGAGAATGGGATCACCATTCACCATCCAGGTTTCTTTCTGCATTTATGAACTGGGTAAGAAACAGCTGCTGTAGCCCTAATAATCAAGCACCTCTGTGTGGAGGACAGGCTGAGCTGGGAGTGGACACTGAGACACAGCTTCCAGTGGATGTAGGCGGTGATACAGGCAAGTAGAGACTAGAGACAAGTGAGGGGTGAGGCCAGGCACAAGTCTCCTGAGTCTATCAACTCAGAATTTTCGGCTTTTCTTCTCGCCTTTCTGGTTTCTGTTAGGACGATGGTTAAACTGAATTGAAAGAAGCATAAAATGCTGTTCCAATTTTTGGGAGAATGAGTAGGAGGTAAAATTATTTAAAAACATGGTTAAAAAAGATGTTCACCCATACAGTGAGCCCAGGAGATCAAACTTCAAATGATCAAATACCTCAAAGAAATGAAATCTGGCCACAACAGTTTAGCTCTTTTCCTGGATAAGGAAGACAAGCTGTTTCAAAGCTGTAAGAACACAGACTTGAGACTCAGGCAGGTTTGGTGCAAGCCTTGATTTCACTTGGCCACTTATTAAGCATTAGCTTTGCATATAATTTAGCCCAGAGCTTTCTAGTCATGAATAGATTGAGGGTATGCCATAAAATGCTATTGGATGTAAATTTTATGATATTTAAAGCAATGTTATAATAATTCAGTATTCCATTAGACTGAAATACATTTAAACAGCATATGACTCCCATGGAGATTTCCTAAATATAGTGTTTGCTACTTTTTTTTTTTTTTGCATAATACTTATTTATACCTAGAATCCATTGTGGGGGCAGTCTTGAGGTGACCTATCACATTTTCTTTTCCTGATCACTCTAATCATAATTAACAGTATTAATTAACCCAATCAAATTAACATAAAATATCAGTGCTTCACGTACGTTCTCCAAGTCCTCCCATGTGTCCCACAATGATATTAGAATATTTTGTCATGTGAAAAATACTTAATTTCTGTGAGTAATGTCATCTGAAAATGTACTTATAGAATAAAGGTACTTATATGATATTATGTAGTAAATATGTAAATCATTGGAACACAGCAAATAAGTAATAAAGACCAGTTCCTTTCTTCTTATGCACGGGTTGGGGACAGTCACACCTACTGTTCGAGCTGACTGAAGATGAGGCAAGTGAGGGAAGGCATGCTAAGCCTGCCTGGCACGCAGCAGGAGGGCAAGGAGGATCATCAGCACCCCAGTGCGCCACAATATGCATAGCTTGTGCCGCTGATCTTACCTTTCCAGGGTAGTTCGTATGTGCACATCTTCGCAGTTAGAATCCTTCTGAAAGCTGCTTGAATTGTTTTCTTCTCTTCAAGGCTACTGTAGTTCCAGAGATACAGAAGTTGTCCAAAAGCTGAGTGGTAACTCATTTTGCAGAGCTGTTACCATTTACAAAGCAATTTTATGTATAATTTCTCAAAACAACTTGCACTTTGGGGTGCAGCTCAATCGGTAGAGTGCTTGGTTCGTGTGCATGAAGCCCTTGGTTCGGTCCCCAGCCCCTACCAGGTGTGGTGGTGCAAACTTGTAATCCCAGCTTTAGGAAGATGGAAGCAGGAGGATCAAGAAAAGGTCAGTTTCAGCTACACAGCAAGTTCAAGGCCAGCCTAGGACATCCAAGATAGTCTCAAAACAAAAACTACAGCAAACAAACAAACAAACAAACAAACAAAAGCCACAGATAACCCTCTGAGTTCCCTTCATTATAAAAGCAAGAAAACTAAGACCCAGACAGAGTGTGAGGCTTGCCAAGGTATCAGTAGTACAGATTTCAAGTCCAGCCTCGTTTCACCAGACATACTACACTGGAGCTCTTGCATATGTGGGAGTTCGATAGACGATGCAGACATGGTAGCTTGTGCTTAGTAAGCAATGTTCAATAGATGATAGCAAGGCTTTTTGTCTATTACAGCATTTGTGTTGAGAGGCACCTTTACCAGGGTGCCTCAAAGGCATCCCATTGAGCAGCAGAGGCCCCCATAAACTACTACTGATTTTTTTTTTCCTTGATGACTCAGTATTTTGGGATTCTGAACCTCTTTGAATTATGGATTCTAATCTAAATAATAAGACTAGTTACAGCAGGGGTTAGTGAGCTCTTCCTTTAAAAAGCTCTACAGTAAATATTTTAGGTTTCGTGGCCCGCACAGTGAGTCTTTATCTCAGCTACTCAATTGTACTGTTGCAGCTGGGAAGGAGGTGCAGACACTGCATGACTGAATGTGCATGCTGTGTTCCAGTACAGCTTTACTTATAAAAACAAGAGGTGGGCATAGCATGCCAATTCCTGACTTGGAGTTCTGATTATCTGACACAAGTTTCTTAAAAGAGAATAGCCTCAAATTGGACCTGCTGATGGAATGGATACGAAACCAAGCCTAAAACCAGAGTGATCTTATTTTGAACCACTTGTTCATTACCCTTAGCAAAAGACACACACTCTCATATTGGCCTTGTAATCTGCTACCATCACTTTATGAAGCAGATTTGTGAATAATTTCTAACGTTTGTGGCTCTTAACTTATGAAACAGTGAAAGGGACTCAGCTAGAAAAGAACTTTCTCAGTCTAGTCCAGAGGTTATCAACTGTCCAGAGAGTGACATTTTACTCAGTCATTTCACTATTTTATGTATTTCATGTTTTTTTTAAATTATCTGTTGCCATTTAAAAACCCAAAGATTGTACAGAGTAAGCAAGCAGATCTTGTTTGCCTAGGAAGACAAAGATGTGGTCACATTATAACCTTTGGAACAATAATCAACTGATGCCAAACCATTACTGCTTCATTTAGACATGTGGAATCCAACTGGACAATTTGCAAACTCTGAATAATTTATTCTATAAATGAAGAAAATAAAATTCTAAAGAACTTTCGTACACTCACCATTTAAACCAGAAGCCCCATTTAGGTGAGAACTGTAGGCTTTCTCTTAGAGATCTTAGAGACTCTTAGAGATTCAAGGATATGGTCTGTACCAACAGGTGCTCTAGATGGGAAACACAAACACTGATCCTTCGCCTTTGCCCCACTTCCTTCCATTTCCTTAACTTGGCCAGAAATTCTTAGTGGCTGTCATCCTCTAGGGAATACCAGGGACACAAAGCCTGTTCACCATTCCTCAAGCTGCTGACCACACCCACAGCCTAAAATATTTGTACTTTGGGTACCGAGTGATACACATTCCCGCCTCCATCGATGCTCTCATATCCAGCTGGGTTATGAATCAACATGCTTTTGTAAATGGCCTTTCTCTACCCACACAGGCAGTTAGGAAACAATAGCCTCTAAAGGACAGTGATGTGGGAGGAGAGGTTGCTGAGAACAGTTACTGATGACAAAGTTCCTCATGGCAGGAGGTCAACAGGAGGTCTGAACTCTTCCTAAAACATCAAGTAGCCCATGGCCAGAGTCGTCAAATGATTGCTTTTTGTGTGTGTGTGTGTCTTTTTTTTAAATTTTTTATTAATTACACTTTATTAATTTTGTATCCCCCCATAAGCCCTTCCCTCCTCCCCTCCCGATCCCATCCTCCCTCCCCTTTCTGCATGCATGCCACTCCCCAAGTCTTTTTAAAGGCTACAAGGTCTGTCTAGACTGACATAGTTTTACCTGATCATCAAGTGTACTGATATTGATTTGTAAAACTCTTGGGAAAGTTGAGTTTAAATGGACATGAATACAGAGTGCCCAGCTTCACTATGTCTCAGATCCACAAATTACCTTATCTATAACTCTCTTAGAGTTATTGCATCATTGTTTAGAGAATACAATCTGTGTATAGAGTCAGTGCATAGGAAAAATATAGGACCCTCTTCTCTGTTGAGAGTAGAACTCTCTTACTCAAGGAGAAATACATCTGTTCCCTTTGGCCATAGTCCACTACCTGATACCTCCTTTCTGCTACCAGGAGACTATACAGTAGATTCAGTAGATTTTTACAGAAGAGATGTGAGGCTTAGAGACTGGCGAATTTGCAAACTTGGCTATTACACCTTAATTTATGCTGGATACAAGCTCTAGGGAATTTTTAAAGGAAAATTTATACTTATTGGTTCCTGGCAGCATTTTCTCTTAAAGCAGCATGGAGGAGCTCTTCCAAGGCAGAAAGGAAACAGACTTTAAAAGTTCTCTTGTCTTCAGCTGTCACCAGTCCTACCCATGCTTGAGGACCTATTCTTTGACTGCATTCACTTGTTGTTTTTTTGTACAAATCACAATCCTGATCTATTCCAAGTACCACTTCCAATCCAGTTCAGTTGTCTGCTGTGAAAGGAGAGAAACAAAGTTTAGAGAGAGGATGTCTGACTCATCTGCAGTGATTCCTAGAAAGAAATTTAGGAGAGGTAATTCTAGGTTTATTTTGGATCTCATCCTGGTCCCCTCCACTTTATTCACAAGGTTCTATGTAGTATGAGATATATACTTCAGAAACACCATCAGCTTCTAACCCCTCAGGTTCCTTGTGTCCTCAAAAGTAGGACATGGCAGGAAGGGCATGTACCTGGATGAAACAATACAAGTGACAAAAATTGGCAGATGCCATAGCAAGAGAGATTATCAAACAAACCTCGTATGGTTAGTTTTACAGATGTAAGCATTAGTTCTCCTGGAAGCAAGAGAATGACTGTTTCATTTGAGCAAAACAAATCAACAATATACAAAATAAGAGAATGAAGACCCCCAAAGCATATGCTTAGTAACTTCATAATATGCACCTACTAAAGCCAGTTACTAGTATTAGAGGGGACCAATGCTTCCTTTAGTTAAAATGTGATTACTCTATCAGAAATAGAAAAAAGTAGGACAAAAGTACAAAAAAATCTTAGAAGCTATAAACTCATTTTTACCATATTACTACTATAAGGCCTATAACTGTATCATCCAGAGATCAAAATTCCAGAAACTTTACAAAATTCCTTTTTGAAACTTATTTATTTTTGTTATCAAAGAGAATGTCCAGAAACATTGAGTACTAAAGAATTTGTTCATGGCATTGTTTTACAAAATTTTCTAATGGAGAGTGAATATTTCATTTTACTTTATTGATGTATCCTTCATTTATTAATGGTGAGGTGGATAAACTGAACTGATGAAATTACGTAAAAAAAAAAAATCCAGACAACCATATAAAGAAAAAACATCCATTCTCATTCTGAGCCTGTTGACTGGAGTGAATTCAGTGGCCACACCACCACCACTGGCTAAGAGCGGGGCTCTTCACATCTTCTCAGTAAGTCATGAAGCTCTCTCAGATATAGGCACCATGTTTGAAGTCTCACACAAAATGTCTGTGTCACTTAAATTACACAACGCGGCAGTGTTTGTTTTATGGGGACATAATATTTAGAGGGGCAAAGTAGAAAATGATCCATTTGCATGTTATGTGTGAGTGTTTTATTGTACTGTGCATGGGCATGAGGGCACCGCAGCCCTTCATAAAGAGTTCCGCCAGTGCAGCATCTGAGGGTTCCCACTCATTCTTAGTGTCGAGCATGTCTGTCATCAAACCACGTGTTAGTCTGGGTCTTCTGCTTGGCCGAGATGGTCTGAACTGAGTTCTGTTGTTAATCTCTTACACTTGATCTCTAGTTGTCAGCTTCAGGATATGTGGGGTACCTGACTGTTTCTATCTTCTCTCGGACTTTGTAGGAGGGGTACAGGCCTGTTTTCCCAAGTTTTCTGTTGATTCCTTTAGAATAACCATCCCAGTGGTTTCCAGCCACACCAATGATATCTCCAGGTTCCATTGGGATTTCCTCTTCAGTTCGAGGTTGGTGAGGATAAATGGCAATCTGGTTGTGAGCATTTTGGCCTCCAAAATAGTAGATGTCATCTAAAGAGTGGAAGTTTGCAGAGGCATCAGGATGCAGGGTCTGCATGATTTCATAAGCAACCCGACAGACCTTGGAAAAGACGAAAAAATGGGTTCGTTAGTCCACAGTGTAAAAACATTACTATAAAGCAATGCTGAGCCAAAGAAGGGCTCCAGGGCTGAAAAGAGAGTTATTCTTCATAACTTTCAGAAACAGACAGACAGACACAGCAGGGCCTATAAATATACTGTGCAATGTTATTTAAGAATATAAATCAATTAATTTTTTAATAAAAATTATGAAGAGTTATGAGGCCTTCCAAGTTGGGAACTAGTGATACAAAAACGAGCAAGATAGTTTCTATCTGGAGAATTTAAGGTTTGGGATTAGCACCTCAAATAACAAAAATGCTGCTGCTCTCATCCTTTTATCCTCTCCTTTTTAGAAGTTCAACTGTTAAGACTTTATTTTCATTTCTACTTATATATGTGTGCATATGCTTCGCTGTGTGCATGTGTGTGCATGTGCAAAGGCTTATGGCGCCCAGAAGGCTGTCAGATCCCTTGAGCTGGAATTATAGGAGGCTGTGAACTGCCCCACATGGCATTGCACTCTGGTTCAATGAACTCTAGAAGCACAGGGAACATTCTTAACAGCTAAGCCATCTCTCCAGCTCCCTGTATCCACTTTTAACCATAATGTTTTCTCAGAACTCTTCTCGATAGAGATTTATGTATTTACTGATGATGAATAAGCAAGTAGGTTTAAACATATCAGCTATTCCTAAAGAGCTCTCAAATGTGCTGGGTACACACAGCATGCTTATACTGATACGAGCTGGGCTGGTCTTTAAAGATGTATCTACCCAATTAGTGTTGTTTTAAAGTGACTTAATTTTTTTTTTTTTTTTCTGTTAAAGAACATCCTCTCTAGCAGGTAAAATCCTATATGCTGAATTTCACTTCCTGATTTACTATGCTTGGTGATAAAAGCTAAGCCACCTTCACAGAAGGGTAACACTCTGGCAATTAACAGAGTCACTAGAAAGTAAAATGGGTTTCAGAACTCTTCCCAAGTTAGGTGATGACAGCAGAGAATTATCATTTTGCCTAGAACACTTTTTGTTTTTACATTCTGGCTGAGAACTCAATTCAGGTCAAATTTCTCCACAGCCCTAGTTTGGTTATCTCAGATAATGAATTTTCATTGTCCTTATGCCAACATTTTACAACTACTTAAAAATGAAACTACTATTTATAGCTGTTAGTCTGCTAATGGCACTTTAGAATGGCTCAGCAGATGTTTCCAAACCAAGGCATTCGTGGAGATCAAGAACTGAATGACGATGTTCTCTTTCTCTCAGTGATGCTGGGCACTGAACCCAGGGCCCTGTGCAAAGGCAAGCACTCTAACCTCAGCTATATCTTATCCTGAGATGCTCACCTTCTAACATTTATGACCAAATAAAATGACTAGCTTAACCCTCACCTCAACTTCCTAGAGAATCTTAATTTTTAGGATCTTGAGCAGTTCTCAAATGCTAGATGCAACTGGCAAATGAACCTAAAGCTAGACACCCCTGCCCCCACCCCAGGAATTAAAGTACAAAGTGATTAAGTGAAACTGACCTAAGTTTTGGTGCTATAATCTCAACTATTGACAAAAAGAATCAAGACAACACTTTTTGTTTCTTTTTGAGATAAGGGCTACCTCACACTCTTTATGTAGCTAAGGGTGACCTTAGACTTTCAGTCTTCCTATCTTTCTTTCTTCTTTGTTTGTTTGGTTTAGTTTGGCTTTTCAAGACAGGGCTTCTCTATTTATATCTGGCTGTCCTAGAATTTGGTTGGTTAGACCAGGCTGGCTTTGAACTCCCAGAGATCTGCCTGCTTCTGCCTCCCAAGTGCTGGGATTAAAAGTGTGCACCACTGCTGCTGCCGCCACCACTGCCACCACCACCGGGCCCTATTTCTTATTTCTCAGGCCAGGATTCAGGCATCTCAGCTTGATTTCAAATTAACATTGTCAAGAAACTAAGTGAATCTTGGGACCACCATGATTCACTTAGGATCAATGGTAGAAAGAAAAACTATAATAACTGAGAATAAAACCAATTTGGAACTTTTAAACTTCAGATTCAGCCAAAGTTCTACACGGAGAAATCAAAACTAAGTTGGAACTCCGTAAAGAAATCAGTATCGTCAATAACAGACCAAATACATAATGGTGGTCTCATAAGATTACATCCTCAAAACTCTGCAGCCATCTTAGTTCATTGTCTGTCATATTTTGATAATGACAAAAATGCCTAATGACACATTTCTCAGAATGAATTCTCACTGTTGAGACACATAACTGTAATTAAAATAACAAAGCTCCACCAATAGCAAAATAAGTAACATGGAAAAAGCTAATGTTTGCTAAGCTTTTGTTGCCAAATACTGATGTGAGGCAGTATTTGATATAATCCTCTCACTATCCCCATAAGATTCTAGTGTTCATCTTACAAATGGCAAAGGCAACCGAAAGCATATGCCCCTGTTACACTATTAGTAAGTGGTAAATTCAAGTTTGAACCCATTTTTTTTTTTCAGCATAGCATGTCTTATAAATCTTACACTTTATATTCATTCTGTTGCATCAGAAAGACACAACCTAAGAGCTAAGACAGTTCTGGGGAAACCTGAGCCTTCTTTTCATCAGTCTTTCTTAGCCAGAAATGCAAGACTTGTGTTATTTTCAAGACAAGTACAATCTCTACCTTAGCAGTTACCCACATACGATTCTCCCTCTTCACTTTTTAATGCATTGCTCTCATTAGAATAACACTTCTCTGTTTTCTACTGTTTTGCTTTCTTTTTGTGAAATTTTTAATAATTACTTTATGTTTTGGTACAAATAGTTATTATTTGTTAGCCTTTGTGAGTACATCTGAATTTTCCTAAACCAAAGGAATAAATTTCAGATACCAAGTTGGGCCAATATTGAGAGATTTCTGGACAAATGTGAATTTGGGTACCTTCAATCACCATGATGCTGTAGGCATGGTCCTTTATCTTATAGTAATGGCCAGAATTGTAGCAGCTGAGCTTACTGAGCACTGACTGTGGTCCAGCACAGTCACATAGTGACCCCCACATACAAACTCCTTTCTCTGTCACATCAAACCTCTAAGTACTGTTTTCACTCATATAACAGATGAAGAAACTAAGCCACAGAAAGCGTTTCTGACTTTATTTAAAAAAAATACAAAAGGAGATAGTAAATACCACAGCAACGATTAGAATTCTTTATGGTTCTAGAGTATGTGCTCTGAAGCACATAGGAAACTGTTTTTGCATAAGAAATTGGAACTATAGATGGCACATAGTAGGTGTTCAGTAATTATTTGTTGAATAAGTGGTGCTCCAGTAATGGATGTTCAAGCCCATGAGTGATATTTAAAAATTAAGGTCCATACACAACATTTTGAATAAATAATGTTTGTTTGTTTTGTTTTTGTTTTTTTTTTTAATCTCAATCCTGGGCAATTTACTGCTAAGGGCTAGGAGGATTATTAATGTTGATGTTTGCATTCAATTACATTAGGATTCCTCTGGACTTTAAAAATTCAAATCATGTGGTAGGTAATGAAAGCTTGCAGCTGATGGCAATATTCAACTCAGAGTTGGTACTGACTGAGAGGGGCAGTGTTCGGTTTGCAAACACAGCTGTATACAGCCTATTTTACTTCATTCTGTGCCATCACTTCATCACTTTCTAGCACATTATTAAGCACACAGTGATGATTAACAGCAAAAATTAACAGATATGGCACTTTAAAAAAATATTTAAAAGGTAAGTATCCATTAGTCTGAATACAACCCTTAGAGTAGATGGGCTGAGTAGATGGGCTTCCAAGCTTCCTCACAGCAGATGAGACCTTGTCTTTGTTGAATTACACAGACAGAGGCTTTCCTAGTATGAGAATGAGAATTTGAAAGTTGTTCTTAGTTTAGTCGGGGATACTGGGAGATCTGTGCACCTTTCCTTTAGATTACTGAGTTTCGCTATACCATGAGAGAATAAAACCAGCTTTTGCTGCACTGTATGAATGTCCAAATAAAGGCAATACACACTGCACAGACAGCATCCAGCACCAAAGGTGAGCAGTAGCGAGGCTCACTCAAGCAGATTTCATGTCCTCTATGCTGGGAAGCAGGCACAGGAGTCACATCTTTTATCCCATGTTTTCCCCCTTTGCTACTCTAGGAAGGTATTCACTACTGCTTCACAAACTACACCTCAATGGAAATCCCTACCCCAAAAGTTAATGCTATTCTCAAACTTGTCCTCTAGTCTTTTCATGTTTTGTATAGATTTGGAATTAAAGAATGCCACGAGACTGTTTTTAGTAAGTTATAAAGGGAGGTATGGGAAAAACTACTCAAATTACTGAGCAAAATGCTGCTCATTAAACAAAGTAAACTTCAACAGCATTAAGGCCCTTTTATTTTTAAGATTCGCTAAGTTTATTTTCAAAGTCATAATGAATTTCTTACAAAAGAGCATTACATTTTATGGGTTTGGGTGTTTGCCTGCATGTATATTTGTGCACTGTGTGCTTGGTGCCATGGAAGCCAGAAGAAGTCACTGGATCCCTTGGAATTGGAGGCACAGATGTTTGTGAGCCACTATGTGGGTGCTGGGAATTAAACTTGGGTCCTCTGGAAGGACAGCAAGTGCTCTTATCTGCTGAGCCATTTAAGGTCTTCCAGCCCCAATTAAGGTCTTTATGCACCTACAATTGCTTTGGTAAATCAGAGTCTAGAATAGTAAAAACTGGTTCTACAACTTGACGGGATATGAGTTTTAAAAAATCTTTTTGATATTTCATGTGCCTACCAACGAGCTGCCAGCTATCCTCATTTCTTCAATTATAATTTACTTGCCTCAGCAAATAAAAATGCAAGCGATCAAGTAGACGGTTTGTGCATGGTGTTTTCCACTAACAAACAATAGGATGACTGTTCAGTAGACCTGTCTACTATGTGATTGGTAGTTTTGCTAACTCAGCTGGTGATCTTGGAAAATGCTAATACTGACTCTTT